CACAATAGCTACAAATGTTTCATGGCTACCATATTAGACAGAGAAGGCTCTAAATGAGCCACCAGGGGGAGCTGTTGGGAGACCCATTCTACAGAAAATCTGTTTTAGTTTTTTTTTTTCCCCCATAAAAAGGCATTCCCATGACACGACAACAGGTCTAAATTGGGGCAGTTAAAATAATCCTGTTTATCCTTTGGTACTACCCACATTTGAAATGCACAATAGCTACAAATGTTTCATGGCTACCATATTAGACAATAGGCTCTAAATGAGCCACCAGGGGGAGCTGTTGGGAGACCCATTCTACAGAAAATCTGTTTTAGTTTTTTTTTTCCCCCCATAAAAAGGCATTCCCATGACACGACAACAGGTCTAAATTGGGGCAGTTAAAATAATCCTGTTTATCCTTTTATTCATTTGACAGACAAGAAATGCAGAAAAAGAATTTAAAACCAAACGACCAACATACAAAATAGGCCTTTTCACCTTAAAATATGATGAAGCTATAAAGATTTCTGCCATGTAGAGACGATTTTAGTAAGGTTGTTTATTCCCTACTTTGAATCTAAATTCCTCTCACTGCAATTTAAACAGGTTCTATCTTGTTTTATCCTCAGATGAATCTAAGAGAAGCAGTTGCCCATCACTAATATGATATTGTATTCCTTTAAATCCTTTATGACTCTGGCCCTTCTCCTATCCCAAAGATTTTTCTTTGTCTAGCTGCACAAATTCAACCGTTCTAGAATTTCAGATTGGACTCATTTTCAAAATGTTTTATTGTATTTTTTGTTCTCTTCTAAACCTTTTCCCATATCTATATGCATTCTCCAAACGCAGGAAGAAAAAGCGAATACAGCATTCTAAGAAAGTCCGAATATTGCCAAACACAAAGAGATCCCCGCACAGAGCTCACATGCTATGCTTCTGTTTAAACAGTTCACTCTATTGTTGGAGAACATTTCACTTGTGTCTCACTAAAATACACACACACAAAAAAAATCCTGAAATACAAAGTAACCTTAGATAGGTCTAAATTTTACAGGCTTACTGCTCCTCACTTTTTTCCACACGTAAAATGAGTGATTCAAATCATCTTCCTTAAAACTGATTTTTTCCTTATGAAAACTCATGAAGCATTTTACTATATTAATAATAAGGAGAATGGAGAACTTAAAGCCTCATTAAAATTTCAGGCTCATCAAATTTGCAAATTAAAGATGATTAAGATAAAACAATCTCAACAGCCTAACTCTATGAGGATGAAATGCTAAAAGATAAAAACGTATAATAGGCAATGAAGATATCCAGTACATAACTGGAGAAGATATAACTTAGGAGAAGCACAAATAAAAATAGCTCTAATTAACACTAAATTCAATAATAATAGAGGTATAGTATGTAGGACAAAGGAGGTGATAGTCCTGTCTAATTTAGTTCTCCTCCAACCATAAAGAATGAAGATTGGAAACTGTAGTCATCTAAGGTAAAGGGCAACAGCTAGAAAATAAAGTTGAAACCAGCCTACAAGTAGGAAAACAAGACCCTGGCATTTTATTGCTTCCTGAAGTCAAGGAAGAAACAAAATTATATAAAAAAAATGAAATCTATATATACTATTACCACTACTGAAAGGGTAGCTCTGAAGTTCTCCAAGAAACTGAAAAATATAACAGTCAGTTTACCTTCTGGGAATTAAACTAGTAAACACAGCACTTGATGAATGAGATTTGCTCTTACAGACCCTAAGCATCCGAAACACATAGGTCATCTACTATCTAGCATACAACTTCCACTATATGATGCACACTCTATTATGAAAAGAGAGCCACAAAGACACAGCAAGATGGGAATGCTTGGCTGTTGGCTGGGCTCACTCAATGAGCTTCATTTGCCCCATCTTATCGTACATAACACTATACATGTGATTCAATTTCCTGGCTTATGTTCAGTTCTGAATGTTGAAGTTTCATCATATCTATATAATTATTCTTAAAAAAAATCACCTGTTTCAATTTAAGAATATGAAAAACGGGGTTTGGAAACCTAAAAACAATTGAATAAATATGAAAAGAAAAAAAAAAACCCAATACATATCAGCTTTGACCAAAGGAGATGGTACCCTGATGGGCTGGAAGAGCTGACCACGTTCAACTCTCAGAGCTCAGTAAATGAATACCCTCTGGCTCTGACTTCATGCCCATCAAGGAACTCTCTGTCATAATTGTTCCTCCTGCCCCACCGCAGATTTGCTACAGTGAGGACGTGCTCAGCAATGGCCCAATTACATTTATCATTGTAAGTTAAATAATTCTAGTTTATATGTTCATTGTTTAGGTGTTTGGTTAGCGTGACTCAGTTCTCAAAAGGTTGACATATCCTAGACTAACTAATAAAATCTAAATTAGGTCTCCAAATCTAAAATGCTAAAGATTATATGCTGGCACCTGCCCCCAAATCTGCTGCTTCAAGGCATGGCTTGAGCAACCAATTGGTCTTTCTTGATGATGACACATTCTTTTGTCTAACTATATATGTACACATGAGATAAAATACGGTCTTATTTAAAGTCCTTATTAATGATATTTTGCCAGTCTTCATAATACCATTAAAATAATGGAAAGTGTTAACAATGTGCGATTAAAAATCAGCTAAACTTTGACTTAGAAATCCCACTTCCAAAAATCTAACTTTTAAATAATCCTGGTGAAAAAAAGCTTTAGGTTCATAGACGTGTTATTCATAAAAGTGAAACATAAAGAACAACTCATCTATCAAGCCATAGGAAAATAATTTGCATTAGCAATAGTAGAAACACAATATAGAGCATAATATAGTCTTTGAAAAATAAAAGTTATACATATTAGATAAAATGAAGATATGTTTACATGAAAATATACGTTAGATATATATTAGATATATGTTGTTATGTGTTAACTGAAGCTTGAAATCCTAAAGAGTAATCCTACAGATGCTGAGTATATGAAAAGAAATTGTCCATACAATGATCTAGTTTTTCTGATGCCTTTTGTTTATTTGTAATAAGCATTTTTAAAAGAAGTCAAACACTGTCAACTGAAAAATAAAAATAGATCCAAACTATAGAATATAGTTTTTTCCAATTCTCATGGAAAACCACCTAGCATTCAAGAGTTAATATAAAATTGACTCAATTTTGGTAAGCCAGAACCTATCTTGTCAAAAATAATGCCATAACAAGTATAATGTCATTCAGAAAGTTATCCTGATTCACCTAAGATCACGAAGTAGATGCAGTTGTCTCTGAGTTCTTGTTTTTGTGCTGATACTTAAGTGCCACATATTAGTGAAGGCAGATCCCTTCTTATTTGGTTGATAACATTCTTTGTGAACAGCAGCTTGATTTGAACTTACCTTACATGAAGACTCCACCTGCAGACCAGGGCAAGGTATTGGCCCAAGCTGGTAGGAGCTGGAAGATCTCTGTTCTACACTTTTGTGCTTATGTGTCTCTGAGGCAACTGGAAGTACAGATTCAGGCTTTAGAAGCTGTGAATCATCACAACAATTAAGAATAATTCGAGCTCTTTCTCCTGTCTCATGTCTTTCTAAAGTGCCTGGAAAACAAGATTAGAAATAAAAATTTCAGCAAAATATTTACTCCAACAGAATAAAAACAAAACACGAACAGAACGAACCACAATTCTTTAAGTTACCATGCCTTACTATCTTCTTGCAACTAAAAAATAGTCTGTAAGCTTTTCCTCAATTATTGAAAACACCCTCAACATAGAGGCTGAAATTATGGATTTGAAAGGCTCATCTTCCTCTTTGTGCTTTTTCATCCACTGAAATCAACAGGGCATTCGATAGTCTTTAACAGTAAAATCTCTTACTTATTATACAGTATACATGTGATCAATAACACGCAACTATGGAATATTTTAGTGCTGTCCCCTAGTGTTCCAACTCACAAACAACAGAGAATCCACAGTGTTTTGCTTGGGTGCCCAGGCTTAAAATGTTTTTATCAGTAATATATAATTTAAACGAATGGGGCAAGTAAGAACACGGATACTTTGTGTACTACTTCCCTCGCCCAAGTCCCCCCACAGGCTTTTTCTGTTGTTGTCGTTTTATTGTTGGTTTTGTTGCAGTTATATCCTTTGGCTTTTATTTCTTGTGTTATTAGAAGATGAAAAAAATCCTTTGCCTAGTTTCAGAATTTAGGAGTGCCGGCAAGTTCAATTTAAAGTTAAAAAGAGCAAGAGGATCAGAAAGCAATTCACAAACAGTTAAGTGTTTTAATAAAATACAACGCCACACGCTCTGTGAAATCTCAATAAATATGAATTAATCATGACCTTTGTCTCTTATAGCAGTTATGAGTTCATTTGCATTATTTATACTGTATTAAATATATGACTTATATCCTATTGAATAAAGAACGCTAAGCAAAATTAGCTTGACAAACAATACCTAAATACAGATTTAATTTCATAGTATTCTTTTCCTACCAATGACAAAGAAGTAGTTGTACAAATTTTTGTTAGGAAGTAGAAAGATAATTCTTATTAATAAAATATCTATTTAAAATAATCACAATAAGAAAACAGAAATAATAACTATAGACCACTATGTCTTTAGATAAGTAGATAGATATATTTGAGGATAACGGCCATTCTATCCCTTCTCATTTCTCCTCCTCCCTTCTATATCCTTCTTTTATGGCAACTAAACTACCAAATGTTGGTACTTTGAATTCCAAACCAGTTAACAGCTGCTATGCTAACATAGCAGGTAGAACTTTAGTCTGAGTCCCTTAACAGCGATATCATTTCATTATAAAATTTCTAAATTCATAAATAAACATCTTTAACATATAAAACTTATAAACACGTTATTCTTCTAAGCTTTCCTTTTCCAACAAGATTGATATACCTTTAACAAATGAAGCTGGCAGCAACACCAAGAAAACCCTTTCTTTCAAGACTGACTGTAAGAAAAGTTTAGCAAACCAAAGATAACAGTCATTACTACTTCCTGAAAATGACTGCATTCAAGAACTTGTAACTGTGTCACCTGGTCAAACTCGCTGTCTTTCTGAGAAATCTCTCTTTGAATATGATATGACCACAGATATTTTCTTCTCACTGGTTTTCTGTGGCTCCTCAAACTACGATATTTTAAAAACATTTTAAGAATACTTGGGAAAGAATCGATTGTACTTTAATACATGTGGTATGTGCCTCATAGTATATATTTTATATATCCATATTGTTTTATTCTATACCTAAGGTCTTATACAAACACAACTATTTCTTATATTTCTTGTATTTTTTTAGTGATGAAAATAATTTACCCACAAACTTAGGTAGTTGTAATCTATTTTCTTCCATGCACAGATAACTAATCTGCCTGACCACCTACTATGTGCCATTCATTGTGCCAGATGACGACAATGCATAGTAAACAAGAATGACTCAGTCCAGCTCCCCCTGGAGCCTCCTTAAAATCTAATGGTAGTGCAAAGGGAAAAAACATGTGAAAGTTAATTAGCTACAATATTTAAAATAACACCTAAACCATTTCCACCCAAAACTAAAAATCTCCCATTCTAACAAAATGTGTGACACTTGGTTTTGTGAACAATAGTTTCTATCACGATCAATTATAAAACATTCGAAAAACAATAGATAATTATTTTGTTGCAAAGAACTGGCTGAAGCACACACGTGACATAAGGAGTGGTTAGAGCCAATCAATTTCTGTAAAAGTTATTATAGAAAGATAAGTAAACTACATATTTGAAACAATAGGTTGATTTTGTAATAAGATCAGGACAAAAGCTTTTGAAAGCCCTTGGCCAAAACTCTGACAGCAGATCGGGAGAGATTCTCATGTGAGTTAGTTACTCATTTACTGCCTCTTAGTTTCAAATTCACCCTTCACTGCCTGCTGTGTGAAAATGGATATGGGCTCCATAAATATTTTTTACTTTATCAGCTGGTGAAATGTTAACCTTTGTGGACAGAGAGTACAGGGAAGTCCTAGTAGAAGAAAGAGTTTTTTTCTTTTTGGTTCTGGTGTGATTTCCTGCAATAGCGTGAGTAGTTTCCCCAGCACCAGGCTCCTGCAGTGCATGGTGGCCAGCAGCACCCAGCACCCAGCACCCAGCACCCAGCACCTAGCACCCAGAGCCCAGAAGCCTCTGTTGGCACACTCTTTTTGATCAGTTTTGTATCAGAGTGCCCCCAGAGAGATACTTCCCTGCAGACAGCTTCCCTGGTGCCCTTGAGGGCATATTTCTGGAAAGTTCCTCTAGCACCGCACCATAGCAGCTCCTCTGCCATCCAGTAACTATAAGTGTACCCTCTCCAGCAAGGACAGAAACTTAGCCCGGGGTTGGGGGTGCTCTTCCTCTGTCAAGCTTTCTCAGTTCTAGGAGTGGGAATGTCCTTTATATCTGCTTATTCCTATCTTCTTTAGAGTTCTCTTTACTTCTTACTAGCCAATCCCTCATAAGCAAATTCTTTGTGAGAGTTAACAATTCTTTAATGTTAAATTTTCTCTGTTCAAATTGCTGTGTCATTTCTCTCTCCTGATTAGATCCTGTTTAATACACCATGATAAGTCACTTCTGACACAGAATGTTTCTTTAAATATATCCCCAAAGTTATGGCATTTATACCACTTCAGGGATACTGTTAAATTGTTAGAGGGAATCTACAGTAAAAACAGTAAGCAAAGAAGGAGGGCATGACTGCAAGGAAGATTTCCAGCAAGGGGTGCCTTTGCAACACTAGTAAACTGCCTTGGGCAAGAAACAGAATAGTCACTGTTTCCTGACATTAAAGAAGTGTAAGAAACTGAAGGTGCACAAAATTGCTTAAATTCAACTTCCAATTTCAGGTGAACTTTTGCTTTCCAAAGGGAACTCAATGATAATTAGAATTTTTTTTTTCATTATACTACATAAAGAAAATGAGGTAACTCACATTTACTCTTCATTTCAATCAATCTGAACATGACAAGGAAAGATAAAAAGGCATATGTGAGTTCAGTGTTATTGAAAGTGACAATACCATCTCTTCTTTCAAAGTGGATATGCAAAAAAAAAACAAACCCACATAATCTATTCTAAGTAAAATGTTTATTGTATGAAATGCTCTCCAATAAATATTTTGTATTATTTCTATTATTTATTTTATTAATATGAATTTTGATACGATTTGTTTTAATCCTAAACTATATAACAGTGCATTAAAGCATAAAGCCAATCATAAGAAAAGAAAGCTTAGAACAATTAACATCCTGATAGAAAGGGAAGGAAAGATCAATTTTCACTGGTCCCAAGTTACCTATTTTCTACCAAGTCAGTGCACAGAAACATACAGAGCAGCCAAGATGCTCTTTGCAGATCCCTAGACCCATCCTGACAACATTTTCACTTGTATATCCTGCTTTTACCGTCAACTCAACACACCCCACAGCATACCTAATTAAATATTTTTAAAACCAGAGCTTTCTCTATGGCCCCGTGTCTAGCCGATGTCCTCCCTATCTGTCTGGGCTTACAGGAAGGGCACCTCACTGCACGGAGGTTGGGGCAGCCTCCGGCACTAGGCTGCCCTGCGCTCAAATCCTCGTTGTACTTTTAATGGTCATGTGGCCTTCCGCAAGTTATTTTACATCTTTGTGTCTCAGTTTCCCCATCTGTACAATGGGGATAACAATAATTCCTACCTCACAGGGTTACTGTGAGGATTAAATTGAGTAGATATTTGAAAGTGCTTAGAGGTTCTGGCACACGGTGAGCGCTGTGCTATATGACAACCCCCTTTGCCACACGACGGAGGTTCTCACTCAGCCCCTTGTGAGCTGACGAAGAAACTTTCTCGGCCCTCTGGCTTTGGAATCTGCCTGACACTCGGGCCCAAGGTCACTGGACATATGGCCAGCTTGTGCCCCAATGGCCTTCCACCTGATACTTGAACCTCCTCATAGGCTAGGTTATAATCAAAATCAGAGTAGGATTACATATTTGACTTATTTTTTAATCTTCCTCAGTACAACGGAGTGGGGTCTGGCATAAATCACAGGCTACATAATACTTCTTAATGGATTATATGGCATCAGCAACCTGGCTAATGATTTTTTTTTTCCATGTGGCTACACTTGGGATTAAATCCAAACTCCCTGACCTACAAGTCATATTCTTACCCCTGCTTTCTCCCATGTCATCCTCCCCTTGCTCACAAGTTAGATTTTCTTTTTCTTTCCTTGCAAACAAACAAATCCTTTCCTGTTAGCTCCATCTCATCCTTTAGGTATTAGCTTAAAATCTCACCTCCTCAGAGAGGCCTTCTAAAACAGATTCCTCTCCTATCTTGCGTTGTTTTCTATTTCAGCTTCTTTACTTCACAGCACTTACAACATTCGTAATTGGTGTATTTTATTTGCTTGCTTAGATTTGGGGCTGAGTCCTCACTAGATGCTAAACTCTTCTTGGCAAGCATGCATTCTGTGAGATTGGTACAAAACAGGTCTCCATAAATATTCACTGAATGAATAATTACATTTTACCCTTTCCCTGTAGGCACGGAAAAGAGGTAGC